GGACCGTGCGTCCTTGCCCCGCTGTCCTGCCTGGTGCGAGCCTGGCTATGACTGCTCCGGCTGCAGGTGCTCCAGGTACCCCCCTCGCGTGCCCCTGCTTGGGTTACGCTTTCCCTTTGGAAAAGCCGGGAATGAACTCCGTGTGGTTTTGGCTGATAGCGTTGCAGTTGTTAGCATGAGCTTGGTCGTTATTTTAATGTATAGTTATTCCTTTCTGAATTTCTTAAAACGTGGGTTTGAGCGCAGTAGGTCGGGCAGGTAGAGAGCAGTCTGTCATAATGAAAAGCAGGCCTTGTGTGCGCACCCAGCAAACCTTAGAGGTTCAGAATGAGTCAGGCAGCTTGGTGACTGCACCGATTCCGTCAGAAACGTTTCCATCCCATGCTACTAATTAAGGGTAAATTATTCTGTCTGTAATTTGTAGAAAAGGTCTATTCTAAAAATGCAAATGCAGCTCTACAAAGAAATTCTAGTTGTGCTTAGAAAATGAAAACTAAACAGTCCTGCTTACCTAGAAACCTAATTCTGCTACGATTTATGCATAGTATTAAACTTGAATATAGCAATAGCTTTTTTTGGAAAACAATTTGTGAGATTTCAGATGTGAACATACATGTGGGATCATTTTAGTTCCTTTTCCACAGTTGCAAGATACGTTTAATGGTTTTAATGTTTCTGGTACACTGTTATCAAGAGTGTATCAATAATAAGGGAATCTTTCAATTGAATTTGTAGGAAATAGTGGAAATGACACTTTAAAAGTGTCATTCCAGGGGCAGGCTCTTAATTATAGATTCCTCAGTGGTTGAGCATGAAGATCCTGTATCAAGTATGATAGGCTTTCATGTTCTAGTTCTTGTATCGTAAGACCCAATGGTGATGTGAATAGTAAGACGTATTCATAGCATATCTGTAAGATAAATGTGTTATTCACCAACTTGCATTTAATTAATTTAGTACGTTTCTCTTTGTATTGCCTTTCACTTCCCAAGTGTGTTACTCAGGCTTGCTCATTTTACAAACCCAGGTTTGTAACCCAGGCATCTCGAGTGGCTGTTTCACTTTTTTGGGCAAGGACGTGCCCTGTCTTACACTAATAAAGCAGTTGCAGATGCATGGCTCAATCTGTGCTGTTCTCGTAAGGCTTTCTATTTTTTTAAAACTACAAGTAACTTTAATGTAGTTCGCACTTGTTAATCCACTTCACCCCAGCAAGTACAGCAGCTCCCTTCTAGGTACAGGAAGGCTGATGGCCTGTACCTGCAATGACACTGCACACCTGGAGTAGCTGTGCACAGTTGGCTGGTGGTAGAGCCTCTGTGCCTCATGCTGTGTTTTGATGGGTCTGGAAACTTGATCCTCTCTATCTTTCCTTTCATCAGTATTTCATGAACACTGAAACTGCAGGAATGTTCAAAAGCATGCTTTATCACCTACTATCATTCTACTCAATACCGATTGATTGCCCTGCTCACAAAAGTCTGCCAGTAAAACATTGCACGTGTGTAAGGGATGCAGGGAGAGAGGGAGGGAGGCTGAGATCTCCTGGATCTGCTAAAGGAAAAGTTTCTGAAATGTTAATGTTGGATAAAAGAACTTCTGGCCAAATAGAAGTGGGAGTGAGTTAATCACAAACATATTTAGCCAACCTGGTATGCAGCTGAAATCATGGGGGTGAAGACCAGCCTTTCTGGGTGATGGCATTGCTCAGCTTTTGCAGCTGGATAGAGGAATGTTTTTCCAGTTAGCCAGGCTGAAGTGGAGAGGCTGATGGAACAGAATCAACTCCTGTTCCTGTCTGTGGTGAATTTTAGAAGCCCTTTTCAGATTGTTTTGGCCATATTGCAGTGCTGTGCTGCCTTACAGTTGTCTTGACCTACTTTTCCCCAATATGTAAAGTAGATCCAGATATAGAGACTGATTTCATGAGCTTGTCAAATTCTGGCTTACTCTCATTAAAGTAAAAAACCTGTTCTGTGAAGTTTGAGTCCTCAATTGCATTCCTTTAGCAGCAGCATTAACTAGCTTTTGAAATGAAATTATGAGAGGGGAAAAAGTGTTCAGTTTTGGCATGGTAGCATTTTCATACGGGTCATTTTTCCATCTTGCACTGTCTCATTCCAACAGCACGTCCAATGTTTTTGGCATTCAGAGTTGAAAATAATGAATAATGGAACCTTGGATATATCCATAATGTGTTTCCCTGTTATGCCTTAGTTTTATGTGGGATCATCAAACTACAATTTCTTTTTAACTTCTATTTGTCCTGAGGTCCAATTGATTTACTACTTAGTTTTGCTTACTTCAGTTTAAATTACACAGAAGTTTGAATATCCCAACATATGGGAAATTACATTTTTTAGTTGAGTGTATTTAAAAAAAGAAACTAACTGACCAAAAAAAAAAGTCAGTTTCTCCATTACAGGAATCATGGCTCTGGGGTGGAAAGTGTTAATATATTAAAATGAAGGTGTAATTATACTAACTATATATGAATTTTTTTGCCATGACATTTTTAATGTTAATTCCTTCTGGTGTTGTTTCTGGACTTTTAAAGATATTTTAAAATTTAATACTTCAATTTACATAATTATGACTTACTTGAATGAAAGCAATGTGTAATGTTACTGACAAGCAAAGTGGAGGTAGTTTTGAGGCTTAAAAGAATTTTTCAGGACACACCATGCCAACATATTTTCTGCCTTCTGTTTGTTTTGTCCTGGTTTGCAGGTGGAACTTGACATCTTGTGGGACGAGCGTAGCCAGCTCCGAGTGCAGCGAGGAGCTGTTCTCATCAGTTTCAGTTGGTGATCAAGATGACTGTTACTCTCTGTTGGATGACCAGGAGTTCACCTCTTTTGATTTGTTCCCTGAGGGCAGTGTCTGCAGTGATGTCTCCTCTTCTATCAGCACATACTGGGATTGGTCAGACAGTGAGTTTGAATGGCAGGTAAACTAGTGCTGCTGCAAATGTGAAATTCTGTATGGACTGTTACATGCTGGGTTTAGCTTTAATTGAAAAGTTCTCAGCATTTGTTTCATGGTAACTATCTGAATCGTCAGTGATAAAGATGATGTTTTGTTCTGTTTTATTCCCGAGCTTGTAATCTGGAGGGGAGACTGAAGGTCGTCTTTTCAAAGAGGGATGCTTACATGTTATGGTAGTTTGGTTTTAGTGACCAACATGTGTCTTGTAGCCATGAGCTTAGATCCTTTGTACTGAGGATCTGCCCTGCTAATGAAATCTGGTTACAGATGTCTGCTTCCAGTGATCTGATCATATTAAACTTCCTTTGGAATGGAGCTGGCACCTAGGTAAAGTGTAAAAGCCCTTGCCATAGCCTATTTCCATCTTTTTTTCTGTGCCAGTAAGAGGGCAGAGCTCACTTTGTCTCTCCAGGAGGGGAAAATTGTGAAGGTAAATCACGTCCTCCTTTTCCTGGTCTGTATTGGATGGAGTCCTGGTCAGGTATCTCTAGTTTGTGGTAGTTGTCTTTGCTCAGCAGTTTTTCAGTTGTGATAATACTTTTGAAAGTTATAGACTTAAATCAACTGCAAACGTATATGTAACTTTGAAACGGCAAACACGAGGCTTCACGATATACTGAGGAGTACTTTTAAATTTTGTCATAAAGCTGAGTCCAAGCAGTACGGAGTCTTCTGAGTGTGCTGAAAACAGTGGTTTCACTGTTCCAAAATATGCAAATGACCTTAAGATAACACAGGCTGAGATTAGCTCTGAATTTCTTACTGCTTTAGTCTAACTGCTAATCTCGGTGGATATTGTGTCAAAAAAGTTACAAGTGCAGCCTGTAGGAACAACTCAGATTGGATCCCAAAGATTCAGAGCTTCACTGAGTTGTGAAATTTTAATTGTCTGATAAACTTGGTGATAGTTTTGAAAAGGTCCTATGTCGTAGTTAGCTGACAGCATGCTTGATGAGTAACTTGCTTGTTGAAATTATTCTCTGATTTTTTTTAAAGCAAGCATTTCTTAAGAAACACTTGATTGGACTTGCAGAAATTTGGAAATACTTTTTTGTAGCTCTTTATATGGTGTTACCTGGCAGAATCTGAGCATGAGTAATCCAGCTGTCAGACTTTAACTGGAAGTGCATTCAGAAATGGCATGTCAGCTGTATAAATGAAGCTAGCTAAGGTTCTGCAGTTGCTTCCAGGAAAAAGACGGTGATTTTAATTGAATTGCCTTGTGTAATTATGGGGTGTGGTATAAATTGCAAACCTGCTTTGAAATGATCTTCCTTAAACTAGACTTATGCTTTAAAATGGGAGATTCAGATTTAGGTTTGGATTTTAATGGACAATTCACACTGATGGAGAAGGGAAACAGTTGGCTTGCCATATCATCTGCTGTTTTTTGAAATGCAGCTTTTTAAAAGGATCGATTAGTAGAGAACAGTGTGAATTGAGTTGGCTGCACTTGCTGTTTGTTGGAAGATTCACAGGAGTACGGCAAGGTTATGAGTAATTATTGAGAAGTTGTTAGAGTACATAGGTAAGCAATGCTTTGCTAATTTGATCATATGTTTTGAATTGTTAATAGTGTTAAATGACTTCAAACCTACCGTATTCTAAGGCTTTGTTCTTTCTCTTGTATTATGCAAGTTGCCTGGCAGCGACATTACAAGTGGAAGTGATGTACTTTCTGATGTTATACCTAGTATTCCAAGCTCTCCTTGTCTGCTTCCGAAAAAGAAAAACAAGCATAGGAATCTCGATGAACTTCCGTGGAGTGCAATGACAAATGATGAACAGGTGAAATGGACTCTTCCTACGTGAGGGCTGTAATAAACAGAAGAACTTTTAATTAGTGCTACAGCTTAAAAGACATCCTGGTTGCTGTACGTGTAAATGTAGATCTATGCGATACTGCTTGATTCTTGAAATGAAATCATCTTGTTTTTTGCATCTCTGCTAGGCAGTTTAACGTGTGCTCCTAAGTTTTTACCCTGAGTTTTTGATGATACTTAATGAGGCTAGAATCGTAGGAGATTTGATATTTGAGCACTTTTTATTGTGTTGGTTGTTTCTTTTTTTGTCACTCATTTGGAATCAATTATACTTAAAACGACCTGCTTTTCTTTGGGTCCTAGGTTGAATATATCGAATATTTGAGTCGCAAAGTCAGTACAGAGATGGGCCTTCGAGAGCAACTTGATATTATTAAAATTATTGATCCTACTGCTCAGATCTCGCCTACAGATAGTGAATTCATTATTGAGTTGAACTGTCTCACAGATGAAAAACTGAAACAGGTGAGTCAAGGTTTGTATATGCCACTTCGGAAGTTCAGCATCTGGTACATCTTGCAAAATGTTGTGATCCATTTTTATACATTATCAGTTTTCTATGAAAAATCTCAGTATTTATCAGGCTTTAGTAATTCTGCTCCCTCTGCCCTGAAGGTGAGAAATTACATCAAGGAACACGGACCTCGTCAACGGTCTGCAAGGGAAAGCTGGAAGAGGAGTAGCTACAGTTGTGCAAGTACCAGTGGTGTGAGCGGTGCCAGTGCCAGCAGCAGCAGCGCCAGCATGGTCAGCTCAGCAAGCAGCAGTGGTTCTAGTGTTGCTAACTCCGCTTCAAACTCAAGTGCCAACATGAGTCGAGCGCACAGTGATAGTAACTTGTCCACAAGTGCTGCAGAAAGAATCCGGGATTCAAAAGTAAAGTTTCTAATTATGTACCTGGGTATTAATCTGTCTGACTTGGTAAGGTTGCTTCTGTGATCTTAGCTGGGATATTTGTACTGAAGGAGCATGGTTAGTAACTGAGGATCTGCTGAAATTATCTAGCTAAACCAGTGCTGACTGTTTCCTCTGACATGACCATAAGGAATTTAAACATGCTCTTCCCATCACTTTGAAGGTAAAGCCTGATGTCTGTATGTAGTAGATCTTCTCATTACTTTTGTTTAGAATAAGGTCAGTGGGTGTTGAATAAGGGCTTATGTGTCTGACTTAATTCTTTGAATGAACACACAATTTTACCAAAAAAATGTATTCAAGACCGATCAACCTCATCTAGGCATAATTTCTGGGTAGTAAAGACTGTCTCGGTTGTGTGTTTTTTCCCAACCAGAAGTTTCATCAGGCTTTTTGAATCTTCTAATATGTCTCATGAGATCACTCGGTGAGGAGTGGCCTACTGAAGCATGTTTCAGTTAAAGCAGTACTGTGACACTTGCCCTGTCTCCGTAATTTCAGTTTCAATGTGGAGGGGAGAAGCAGTTCGTTCTTCAACATCTCAGGTTGTTAGTGTAAGACTGTAATGTTTCCCCTGCAATAAAGATTCTTCTGATCAGACTCAGCTGTGCAGCATCACAAGGTGATGTGCCTCATAACTCAGATGTGGTCAATAGTCCTAAAGTATTAATATTAGTTACAACTTTGGATGAATGTTTGCACCACCTCTGAGGAGTCACGTTAGTTATTTTTCAGAGCAGACGTTGTTTTAGAAGTTCACTTACTTTTGCCAGCTTTCAAGGTAGTTTCTAATCCACAAAACAACACCTTATTTTTTGTCTCTTCTGTATTTTGACAGAAACGTTCCAAGCAACGGAAACTACAGCAAAAGGCCTTACGCAAGAGACAGCTGAAAGAACAAAGACAAGCTCGTAAGGAAAGACTGAGTGGATTATTTCTTAATGAAGAAGTGCTCTCTTTAAAAGTGACTGAGGAGGACCATGAAGGAGATGTGGATGTTTTGATGTGACAGGGGTGAATTTATCAGTGTTCTTTCTAAGCCTTAAATGTATTATCCTTCTTGTTTACACATATTTCTTGACCAAATTTTGATTAGTGCTAACAGTATAAACCAGATCTTTTCTCATGTGTAATTTTGGTAAGAAGGTCTGAGTATTGAGTAACTTCAGCTTTTTAAGACTAATTTTGCCACGAAGACTTCAGAAACTTAACTGACTTCTGAAAAGCTGCTGAATAGATACAATTTTCAAGAAGTTGGAACTTGGATAACATGCTGACTTACTCGCAAGACATAAGGGGTGCTTTTGGATGACACTAAGCATGCATTATTGTGCTTGAGCTTTTGTTTTCTCAACTTAGAGTTAGTATTACACTTGGCTTGATCTGTCTTCCTTTCCCATTATTAGGAAGATTATTTAGCATGAAGAAAGAAAATCTTTAGTTCTATAGGGCTTTCTTCAGTCTTGCTCTCGGATCATACAAAATCGATGCACCGTGATAAACCCTTTTCTGCAAGTTGTCATTTAACTCAAGCTACACAAAAGAAGAAGCAGGACTTCCAGTGCGGGAATCTGTAACACAAGTAAAGCTTAATAATGTACTTGTTTAGGAAGCATTTAGAATTCAAAAAACCAACTTGCAAGCTTAGTCTTAAAGAAGTTATTTTGCTGCTCAGTATTTTATAGTAGGGTTGTTACTAATGGTTGAGCAGTACATCCCTAGTATTGCTGTGAAAAGACTCAAACCCATCTTTATGCATTGAAAGTACACTAATCTGCAATTAAGTTGTCTAGGACATTACTTACAGTAGTTAAAAATGCTACTGGAAACAGAAGTGCAAACAAGCGGGGCACAACTCGTGTCTCTCTTAAAATAAATTCATGTTTTTGGCAAGAGAACTTAGTTAATGCAGCTGTGCTTTTTAATTGTATGTTTAGCTGCGGATGTCTCTTCTCTGTGGGTTGTTACACCGTTATGTGTTTCAGAATTCTCCTTTTGTTGTCTATCAGCTTTTGAAATTTCTCTTGCTAAGAAAATGAGGTAAAATTGTGGCTTTCAGGTAGGGAGGTGAAGGTGGTTTTAACCTGTTTTCTGATTCTGACAATCTGTAAGGTGACTTTTTTCTTAATCTTGGTGCTGCTTGTTACAGAACTCCTTCCCACAGCTGAGATTAAAACGATACTTCTAAATTTCAGTGTGGAACTTAAAAGATTGTAAAAGTGTTTTCTAGTTCTGAGTCCAGGAAGTAATTTTTCATTATCTTGATGTTTCATTACTTCCATTTTGCTCTTGTGAATTAAGGGGTTTGACAGTTTAGTGTGGACAGAGGTGCCTGTAATGGCAGGTTATAGCCCGCTCCTGCAGAATTGCATGATCACCTTTATTCACATGCGTTTTGCTTGTCCTGCACAAACTTACTAGCCCTGACAGCTGGAGTATTTTTCTTTCAGAAGTGGCATTCCTTGTAGCCTCACAATAAGCTGAACCAGTAGAATTTCTGCACAGTAGCCTCTGAATGGGCTTCGTTAAGAAATAAGTGAGGTCTACAGTCAAGCTGGTATGTGTAAGCTTAGGCACTACTGCTGCTAGACACCAGGTACCCAGTCATGGCCATTGGCCGGTGAAAAGCTATGTAATATCATTTAAAACTGCCGTGTTAGCCATATCCCCTGTGGACAGTTGTTTGGCCACTAACCAGACGTGACACCTGTCAGTGTTTGCTTGCACTGCACTATAGCTGGCTGATACCTCTAATTTAGACTGACTTAAATCTGAGGCTTCTTTTGAAGTGTCTTAGATGGAAGAAAAAAATTGAATTGCTGTCAGTTCAGCTAACTTCAGGGTGCAGCTGGTGAACTCTTGCAACTTACTACGGCTGTAATGGATGAATTCATCATGAAACATTTCACTGTGTGTACACAGTCACACTTCAGTACAACCTTTATTTTCTGCAGTGACTTTGAAATGTGATTTTTTTTTTTCCCCTGAATAAAATTGCACACTTAATACTGTAGAGAATGGAGACTCTGCAATGAATTGTAAGAAAGTTGTGATATCTAAGCGTGGTAGAGCATGGAAGTGTGTCACTTTATTTTGTTTCAGCAGCTCTTCAGAGTTTTAAAATCCCTCAGGTTTTGTTGAGAGAAGACCCCTCATTTTGATGAAGAACAGTTCTTTTTGGTTACCTGTCTACTAGCTTCCAGAGGTCGCGAAATGAGGGAGGATAGTATTTCCATCTTGATCTTAGTGTGAGCATGTAAGTATAAACTAATCCAGGTGATGAAATGGGTCGACTTGCTCATCTGGTACATTGGATGAAAAGGTCATGGGTGCCACAGTAGCTGGTTGTGATATGCCATTTCCAGCTGGATACTTCTGTCCCTTGTGTGACAGTTAAAATGGTAGAAAAGAGTGGATTTCCAGGGGTTCCATGGTAATAACTTATTGCTCTGTAATCTTGTTGTCCCAGGATGTTTATAACCTAAGAATACAAAGCTCTGAACATTCTGATAAAGAATGCAAAGTAACATCTGGCTTACGTGAGTGTTGTCTTTGCCAAGTACTTGGCATCTCCAAGAATCAGGCCTGAAGTAGCTGTGGGATTCCAGAGTTCCTGCATGCTTCTGTATGTTTGGGTTTTTTACACTTTTCACATCCTTAGTTCTAATGACACACTCATTGTGTGGAGAGGTGTGTGTTTTTCTCAGATTCTTGTCTTTCCCTGCAATACACTGTACGCTTACCCAAGGAGGTGGTGGAGTCACCATCCCTGGAGGTATTTGGGAAGTGTAGATGTGGTGCTTAGGGACATGGTTTAGTGTGGACTTGGTAGTGCTGGATTTATGGTTGGATTCGATGATCTTAATGGTCTTTTCCAACCTAATTGATTCTATGAATTTGTATTGGATACCCATGGCATTGGTCAAACGGTTGGAATTTTAGTTAAATCTGGTCTTGCTGATTCAAGTATTGGCCATTGTGGTTACTGCTTTGTTTTACAGGGAGTTATCTACAGATTATTGGGTTCAGATAGATAAAGTAAAAAAAAATCTAAAATCATACTTTCTTATTAGTGCTTTTTCAAAGGAGAACCAAATCTCTGCTTTTTATTCATAGATAAAAAGTGTTAAGCTTAAAAGCAAACCAGAGACAAATGGGAAAAAGCTCATGGTTGTATGGCTCCATGGTACTGAAGCTGTGTATCTAGGTGCTTTGTACCCACTGTAATATGAATGTAACCAATTTTCACTCTATAACATTATTAACGGTTTGCTTCCATGGTAACTTTTTCTCTAAAAAGGCTTAGAAAGAGCACTGAAACTCTGATTGCAATAGGACTGTAAACAATAGAGAACATTCTTTTCTAATATGATTTTAAATATGAGGAAGAAAGCTAGCTTCCTGACCAGCCTGTCTTAAGTTTTGTGTGTGTATCTAATGTCATCCTTTGTCTCTGTTAAGATATTATCTATTTTTCTTTATCTGGGAAACTGATTAAGAGATGGTTATAGTACGCTCAGTATAGGGTGCTTACTAAGAAGAGCAAGAGAAGTCTTTCCAAGACTTTTCCTGGGCTTAACTTTGAGTTCTCATATTGTGGTTTGAAACCTGTGAAGATCAGTCTCTGGGGGGAAAAAACAAACCAACTAGCCTGCTTGAACTTATTCATATGCATTTACATCAGAGTGCAGGTACAATATAGAAACATATAAAAATGACAATATTTACTGCTCATCTACGCCAAATGGCCTGACGTCACTTCTCCTAACGCTTTCAGCTTTGAAATCAGTTGATGCATTTGTTTATAAATATTAATAAACCTGACTGTTTTGGGGGACTCTTGAAGTTCGTTCTTTTAAGCCAGATTTTCATGGCAAATGTTGTTAGATTTCTTGGTTTATTGTTCTTTAGCTGACTGATCTTGCAGGTCTTGGGCGTAGAAAAGACAAGTCAACGTGCAATTTTCCACTGAAGGATTGCAAACATAGTTTATTATCTACCAAGGTCAGATGATAGTAATGTTCAAAGCTTGTCTATTTTGACTATTAACTCTGCTTAATTGTACTTGCATTCTCTCATCTGGCTAACTTCAAAACATATCCAAATTACAAATAAATTCTTCAATTAAAAACAAAAATGGAAGCCTTGAATATAGTTCATAACCAAAGCAAGGGTAAAGTGGGGGTTTGTGGGTTTTTTTCTTTTGGGAGAGAGGTGGTGCTATAGAGTATACGGTACTGCTTCAATTGAGATGTCTTTCCCCTAAGTTCTCTGCTAATTGCATTGCTAAAATGCACTTTTGTATTGAAAATTGTCCTCTGTACACTCTGTATCTACTTTCCACAATGTTTACAGAGATTTTTCTGACGTGGTGAAGGATTTACTGAAAGCTGCAGTGCTGGTGACCGATACTGTTGACTTTCTTTTCATTGTATTTGAAGATAGTTATGTGCATACTGAAGTACAGGTTGGAATTAAAATTGATGACATAGCCAAGATATTCTGATGAAACTATGTGGTACCTTCTTCAGAGCAGGGATTCAGAGAGGGGGCTTGCTTACAGTGAGGCAGAAGGTACAAATGAAGCTGCACATGCTTTTTGTCACGAAGAACAGTTAACAAGCCAGTCCCTCCTTAACTAGTGCCCTTTGTTATCCCCAAGATCTGATCAGAATTGTTTCACGGAAAAAGTTATTTGTTGTGAACGACACAACTCGGTATGATGTGGTAAAAGCTTCCTTGGTTTCGTTTCGTTTTCTGTGCCAGAGTGTTTTTTTTAAATATATAGCTAGGTACCGTATAGCTGTGGGCATAGGAAGTCTAATCACTTTTGTTGCCAGCAGTAAATCTGAGTCTTCTGTCACTGTCAGTGCCCATAGCCATCAAACCACCTACCCTGTGATGTTTGAGGTTGTGACAGGACTTACACCCTTCCATGCTCTTCCAGTTCATCATGCGGGCACCCGCGTGTCACTCCTGTAAGTCCAGATGTCATTGTTGTGGCAGGAGCAGGTTTGCTTGGGGATACCAGAAGTTGCAGTGATGCACACCAAGACGCGCAGCACCAGCAGGGTCACGGCCGTGGCAATGGCTTTGCTATCACGTGTTTGAGTAGGCTACAGTGAGGACACTTGTCAGCCTGTATATTCTGTGTTGTCCTTGAACCAAATTTGCCTTCTGCAGTACTAAAGTTTCAAGTGTAACATTACA